TGTGTGTGTGGTGGGTCTATTCTAATAACATCTCTTAAGACCTTATTCTGCTAACACCTAGGCTTATTCTGCTAACACCTCCCAACCCGCAGCACACAGCGAGGGGAACCGTTCTAACCACGCGCATCCGAAAGAAAAGAAAAACTAACCGACCCCTCCCCACGTCCTCACCTTCTCTGCACACATCCGCACCCCTAGTCCCCACCCGCTTTCCACTCCCCACACCTCCGCGGTGGCCGGCAGGGGCACCGGATCGAAGCGGCACCCCCCGCGTCCCACCTTTTCTCCCGGGCCGCCATGGCAAGCGCGCCCCCCGGGCATCTCCCAACTAGGAGCCCGCCCCGGATCACCCCCTCCCCCGGCCGCGGCGCCCCGCCACCAGACCAAGGCCACGACGGCTCCTCGCAACACCGCGCCGCCGGATCCATGCCACGCGGACCCCCGCGACGCGCCGCTGCTGGATCCAGCCCCTCCGGTCCACCCCCTCCCACCAGCGCCGGCCAGCACCACTGCCTCATCCCCATCCATGGTGGGCGCCCCGCCACAGCAACCTCTCCCTGTGCTAGATCCGGTGGGATCCGCCTCCATCACGTCCCGCCTGGACCCGCGCCGCTGCGGCCGGGCCAGCTCCCCCGTCCGGCCTCCTCCCCATCCTGGACTTGACGGCTGATGGGTCCAGGTCGCTCATGCCTCCGGTGGCTCCTGGTCGAGGGGACTCTCTGCAGTTCGGTGGCGCTCGTGGTGTAGCTCGGTGGGAGTGCAGCTCATGGACAGCGCCGTCATGCAGTTCGAGCGACCGTGTGCGTGCAGTGCGTTCGGTGAGTGCATGCGGTTCTGTGCATCTCGTGTTGACCCGACCACCATCCTCCATCGCCGTCCATCTCATGTTGCCCCTCCTGACCGCGCGCCCCTCGATCCGGGCAACCAGGCCTGCGCGCCATGCCATGCGCGGCCCGCCGGACTTCGACCGCTGGGTGTGTGTGGTGGTGGGCTACAACTCCCCACGGGCGACCACGACCCCCTTCCCCTTCCTTTGTGTTATCGATTTTCGGATCCGGCGAGTAGTGCACCCGTATCACAGGAGCAGTGCACCCCTGCCTTCCTTCTCTGCTCTCATACTGGATCCGCCGCTATATATATATATATATATATATATATATATATATATATATATATATATAGGGAAAATCCATCCTACCACCCGGTGGTAGTTACCCCACATGTTTCATATACTACCATATGGTACTATATATATACTATTTTATTATTTTTAATATGTTCATATATTATATCTAGGATATTCCAAAACAAGTTACATGAAAAAATTGCATATGAGCCCATAGTTTTTTTTATATTTGTGAAATACATACATATTTGTACGTAAAAAAGAACATGCTCAAAAAGGGTACATACTACCTAAAAATTTGTATATATACTACCTAATCATTGTTATATACTACATACTACACGTACATACTCTCGGTTTAGACAGATACTACATACAACATACAAAACACAAGTGGTGGTAACTACCACTGCTTGTAGAAAACATTTGTCCTATATATATATATATACTAAAACTGTTTCTATACATAGCTTGCCATAGAACTAGTTAAGGCTTCCTAAACATTTAACGATTTAAAAGTAAGTAAAAAATATAAAATAAATAGGGGAGCCTCACTCTAATATAATAAGATGATCCAACGGTGTGATTGTGAAAATATGCATTTATGTGTCCTCAACGAAAAAACAAGCATTTCAGCTCACTACAGGATCAATATATATTAAAAAATTTGTTCTTTTTGTCCAGGACACGTGCATTCATATTTTTTCAATCCCTCCGTTGGATCATCTTATATTATAGGTGTGTTGGTTCAGTATTTTTTTCAGGATTTTTGAGAACTTTTACACCGTCGAAAACCTTAACTAGTTATATGGCAAGCTATTGTAGAAAATCCTACTTATATATATATATATATGTGTGTGTGTGTGTGTGTGTGTGTGTGTGTGTGTGTGTGTGTGTGGTGGGTCTATTCTAATAACATCTCTTAAGACCTTATTCTGCTAACACCTAGGCTTATTCTGCTAACACCTCCCAACCCGCAGCACACAGCGAGGGGAACCGTTCTAACCACGCGCATCCGAAAGAAAAGAA